CTTAGCTGTAGAGGGCAGCGTCACTGGCCCTCATATGTGGGATCCGAACCGGGGCCCTCTGGCGTCCCAAGCCAGTTCTTAACCAATGCGCCACTTGGGCGGCCCACTAATTAGGTTTTAATCCTATAATACATGCATCTTATTTATATGAGACATTCTAATCAGCTGACATAGACTCTTTGAGTTACAAAAACAAATGTTACCCATTAATGTCACTTTTGATTCACCAGATACCTTTCTTTAAGTATAAAATATTTTTTTTCTCATTCTATATAATGAATCATTATGGACTCTCATTTACAGTAAATAACCTTATCTTAGGGATATTTTAAGGTACTCTAAATATGGAAAAATATTTTTATTTGAGTTTTTCATATCTGTATATATTTTGAGTGATGATCTAAAAGATATTTCACAAATTAATAATAGAGCAAAAATCATTCTGTTTTACAACATTTATTTGTGAAAGAAAAGTTTTCCTTAAAGGAATGAAATCTTAGGTAAGTAAAATAGATTTTCCATAAAGTGAACTCAGATACCTAGTTTTACTGCATGTTGTGACATCCCAGTCACTGCCATTACACAGGGAGACAATTATGGAAATGCTTTCATGTTTTGCTATCTGATTTGGTTAAATTAAAGTCAAGTGACTAGTTTTAATATTATTTGTATTTCTTGATTTCCTCCATTCCTTGTCTATATCATGACTACCATACTAACCATGTCTACTTCCAACAGAAATGAAGTAACAAATATATAAATGCTAGAGTATGTTTTTATTACCTAAAATTGTTTAAAGAGCTATTTTTAGGTGCCTGGGAAACCCAGTCATGATAAATATATAAAGGATAGATCACAAAAGGATTCTAAATTAATATACTTAAAATAGAGAAGAATACCTTTAAGCTCAGCAGATATTCACAAACAGCATAACAAATGCCAATACCTTCTTCTGTGTTAGTGCCTCTGCCAAGTTCATCAATTAATATAAGTGATTTGTCATTAGCATTATGAAGAATATATGCTATCTGAAAAACATAATTTTGATATTATTCATTACAACCAAACTGCTGTCACTATCATGGAAAAAATGGGGAAAAACTCTAGTCTCTTTATTAGTTTATTTGAAATATATTTTTATAGAGAAATCCAGCTGAGCAGAAACTAAAACATTACTTACCTTTCTAAAAAATCTCATGATAGCTGATGTGTGCATAAAATACACATAAGCACAAAAGAGTAAATAACCATTACCTAAAATATTGATGCTTTCGATACAGTGAAACAAAGCAATGAATTAAATGTTTAAATAAAACATAAAGATGGTCGCTTTCTTCTCCACAAATGACTAATCAATTGTTGTCATAAATACTCAAAACTATCTCTCATATTTATTTTAACTTCTCTACAGCCAATAAAGATGGAAAGAAAAATTTAGGAAATAGCATCCAAGTCCAATGATTCCTGATTAAACAAATAAATTTAAATCCACTCCCAACAAAGACCAAGAATTTAGTTAACAGATCTGCACTTCTCCACTGAAGATTATTAGTCTCTTTCTCAAAAAATAGAATTCCACCTTTATTATGTTATAACACAATAGTAACTTCCATGGCCATTTTACCTTTCTGTGGGACTAAGCTTCTTGAGAGCGAGGACTATTTAAAAATATTATTCAAGTACCTAGTATGTTGCTATATTCTCCCACAGATATTCAATACATACAATATAATTATATAAATGTCACATACTATAGGCAAATGATAACTTTGTTCTTCCCCTATCCACAGAAAATTGACCAATTGTATAGTGGACCAATAATTCCTACCTACTAAAGATAGGCCAACAGCTATACTGAATTCCTTTAGCCCTTCAAGCCTACTTGACATCTGCTCAGATAAGAAATAGGTGATGATACATACTTTGTTATAGGAAGTGAAAATTCTATAACAGCATGGAATAGGATGATTTTTAAAAACCTCTAACAGTAATCTTTTATTTTAAAACCAAGCCTAACGGGAACAATAGGTACTATACAAAATGGTCTTGAAAAGGTCTTTTTCTGAGAAGTCCTTCATATATCCCATACAAAAACATGAAAGCATGTTTTTATCATTCAATAACACTAGCTTTTTCTTTAAAGCTGTATTTTTCACTGAAACATTTGCTTCCATTTCCCCATAAGATAGAAAGTAGGAAGCTGTCTTTGACTGCCCTCTGGCTCTTGCAGAGTAGTATAAGCACATCTGCATGCTTTAAAGAACACTTTCTTACATGATTGCTGACCATTAGTGGGAAAATTTAATTTTTTTTTACATAAAAAAGTTAAGTTTGGGTACCTCTTTCATTTCTTTCATAAACGTTGATGAATTTGTTTCAATATCATCATCAGTACTGATTCTTGTAAAAATCTGTTCAGCAATTCTAAAGGAGGAATATTCTGCTGGAACATATGATCCTATAAAATATAAGGTCAGAGTAAACTGAAATGCTTTTATAAAATATAAGTCGGAATATTTCACACTTTCCACCAACTCAGGTTATTTACTAGCCCACCTAACGATTATGTGGTGGAAAGATCACTGGACATGAAATTAGAAGACATGGCCCCAGCTATGTCATTTACTGTATAACCTTGGACAGCACTTAAATTCTCCCAGTCTCATCTTTCTCATATATGAAATGGAATACATATCCTACCTATTGTACAAAGTTATTTGGAAGTTCAAATAAGATAGTATATACTCAAGTACATTAGAAAGATTTGTTATAAACTTGATAAAAATTTTAATACTTTAACCAGAAAGAAACTAAAGATTAGAGCATACTTAAAAAGGTTTTTTTAAAATAATAATAACATTCAAAGTCTGAAAATTTGAGGGAAATGCTTATGAAGTTAAAGTTGATAAAATCACTATAGAAAAATATATTAGGAAAATCTGTTAATAGAAATGTACAGAAATAACAATCAGAATTAAAGCAAAACATTTAATTAAAAAATGTGAATTTTCATCCATGAGACTGTTTTTGCCTGAGAACTTATCAGGCTAACTAATCTAAAATATCCATATTTTGAAAACAAATCTATCTGATTAATACAACTACCTCTATATGGAATGACATATAAAAGACATTCTGAAATCATAAGGAAATAAAAATATACAAATAGTTGAATGGGGAAGTATCAAGTATACAGAACTCTACATAGACAAAATGGTGAAATAAAGAGAGAAAAGAAACAAAGTCAAATTATTTCAAGATTTAAAATAAAGGTAAGGATGAAGAATAGGATCCACCTCCAAGGAATAAGCTAACAGGAAAAGAAAGCAAAAGTCAGGGTAATACTAATAAAAATAAGAGTAATAATAATAATAGTAATTATAATGATTGCACCTTAGAATGCAGATTTCTTTAATATAATTTATAGGATTAGCAGAAGAATTAAATGAGAAAATAAGTTAAAAAAATACTAAGTACAGAATATAGCATATATGATATATGTTTATAGTTTTTCCTCTCTCTTAACTCCACCAAAAAGGCTCTCAACCTTAATTATCTAAAGTATTACAAAAGCCTCCTGGCTGGTATTTTGCTTCTGGTCTGGCTCTCATCTAACCATACATCAACCAGAGTGATCTATATCTAAAAGTCAAATCCAATCATGCCAGTCTCTTGCTTAAATTTCAACAGCTTCCTATAGATTTCTGCATAAAGTTCAATCTCCTCAGGTAAGTTACTAAGGCCCTGCATGATCTGACTCCTGTCTCTCCAGTTTCACGCCCTGCCACCTCTCCCAGTCACTCTGCTCTACAAAGCAAAGGAACTACAAAGCCTCTGGACTCCTTGTAGTTCCTTGGGAATTACCATACGATTTTTTTTGCTTCTGTGCTTTAGAACATGTTCTTGCCTCTGCCTAAAAAATCTCCTTCTTTCTCACACCCTTCCCATAAGTCCATATTATTTTACATACATTATCTCACTTAATCTTTACAATTATTCTTCAAAGTAGGTACTATTATAATTTTCATTTACAGATGAAAATTATACTAAAACTAAGGCAGTAAAATAATTTGCCTAAGATGACACAACTAGTAATTAGACAAACTAAGTCTAGTTCCAAAGCCGATGTTCTTAACTTCCTTGACTTTCAAGTCCTACTGTTACCTTTATGGTGAGATCATATGAGATATTATATATACTTTTAGGTAGTTCAGAGGTTTAAGATGAACAATGACAAGAGAAGTAGAATAATTTTCTTCAAATATTTGAAAGGCTATTATGAGAGACCGGATCATTCTGTGATGTGCAGAAAATAAGAATTAGGACTAATGAATACAAGTTACAGAAAGTCAAATTTCAATTCAGTATAATGAATCCAATTCAATTGTTGGATAGCCTGTTTTTTAAAGGACAGAGCTCCTCATAACTATTCAAACGGAAGCAGGATTACGTGTATGTCACATATGAATCTGTATTCTTATAAGGGGAGGGAAGTTCGCTAAGATGCTCTTTTAATTCCAATAAAACTATAAACTTGATAAACTATTTACCACTCATTCACTTTGGTTTTCTTTCTCAGTAGTAAAGGTAAATCTGCACTGTAGTGCCAACATTGATATTGCTGTATTCCACTTGCAATCATTACATTACTCCAGGATTTCTCAACCACAGCACTTATTAACACCCTGGGCTGGGAAATCCTTCTTGTGTTTGTGTGGGGGCAGCGGGAGGGAGCTGTCCTTTGCCTTGCAGGATGTTTAGCAGCATCCCCCTCTGAGGGGACTCTACACTCCCCTCAGTGTGACAGCCAAAAATGTCTCCATGTATTGCCAAATTCCAGATGCAGGGGGGAACCAAAATCATTCCTGGTTGAGAACTACTGCATTAGGACCAATTATCTCATCTCTGATTCATATAGTCTTTTAAGAAACCCAGTTTTCAGAGACAAGAGGTTAAATTGGGCCTCTACACCAAGAAAAATGTGACAATGTTGGGCCATTGACAGCCATTTATATGCATGTCTGTGTGCACATGTGTGTGATGTGTGTGTAATATATCAACTGCTGTGCAAAAGTTATTGGTACGCCTTAAATTAAATAAGGGAAACGTGTATCTGCCCAATGTTATAATTTTAGAAAAATTTTAATGTGGGTTATTAAAGGCAGCAGCTTATCCTACTTATTTCACAATTTCTCACAACAAAGTTTGCTTTTGATAATTATACAATTCAGTTTAGTAATAACTGACACAACAGTAATAATAATAGTAAGGAAGTCTCTAATTCTGCTATATTCTACAATATTTTTAGTACATTCAGCCCAAAATTGGATGGAACTACATAAATACCAAATCATAAAAGTTATGATCTGCATACTAGATGCTACTATACTTTTAGGTAAGAGAATCCACTCCAAACTGTTCTTGGGTTAATTAGGTAACTGCATCTAAAAGATCAGGCACAAAACATTTTAAATGGGGAGCAGAACTGGTAACTATAAAGTAAGCCATAACTTACCAATCTGGGCCATAATCTGACAAAGTGCAATCTGTTTTAAATATGTAGATTTCCCACTCATGTTAGGTCCAGTTATGATCATAAAATTACTCCCTTCTGTGATATAGGTATTGTTGGCAATAGGTTTTTCCACAGATATTCTTTCAAGAATGGGATGCCATCCCTGTTTGATTGCTAAAGTATCAGTAAACTCTGGCCGAACTGAAGGAAAAAATAGAATGGTTTTGAAAGGTTAGTATGTTTATATTTCAAGATTTTGTGGTGTGTACATACAATGCATACCCTAGTGATTTTACTAGGATCAATTTTGAACAATATTAAGGTATGATTTTATCCCATATCCCTGCCTAAATCCTTCTATATTATAATTAGCACACTCTAAACACCATTATTTTTATTCACTTCCAGGGAACTCTAGGATTTAGTTCCCTGTCGTCCTACGCGCCAAAACAGTTCAGTTCATAACATTTTCAGATTTGTATAGATTAAGAAGAATCAACTAGCCATTGATAACAGTTTTAAAATAATAATCAATTACAGGTACTACAAAATTGCACATTACTTAATCCCAACCTTAGGCATTATTTCAAATTTAGCATACTTAGCTGTTCAAATGAGGTGTGAATATAGAATAAAATCTAATATAAAAATAATTTTATGCCTAAACCCTTATAGAACTTTTGTCTAAAATGAAATCTCAGAGGGTAGAGAAAAGAGACAAAAAATATATTGTTAATTTATAGAAATAAATAATGACCAAGTCTCTAGGATACTTCTTGAGGTGAAGGGAGACGAAAGAGTATGGAAGGACAAGTAAAACCTAAAATGTTGTATTCCTCTAGATGAAACACATTGATAAACTTGAAAGCATTCATTATAAAAGTAAGGTTGTTAGAAAATATATTTTTAATTGTTTAAAAATCCTTTTTAACATCAAAAATTCATTATTTATAGGTTGGGAGTTTCAGAATGGTCCCTCTCAAATTAAAATACATCAAATATCTTAATAGCTAAGAAAACTACTGTCAAAATTAGCTGGTCCCAAGGATAAGTTTTTTTACTCCAAAAGAGATACAAAAGGGGCTGGTGAAGTGGCTAAGTTGGTTAGAGCGTGAGCGCTGAGCAACAGGGTCACAAGCAACAGAGTCGCCGGTTCGATTCCCACATGGACCAGTGAGCTACGCCTGAGCTGAGCTGCTGCTGAGCTGGTGAGAGTGTGTGCTGTTAACAAGGTTGGTGGTTCAATTCCCATCTGGGATAGTGGGCTGTGCTTCCCCACAACTAAGATTGAAAGCAGCGACTGGACTTGGAGTTAAGCTTACACTCTCCACAACCAAGATTGAAGGACAACAACTTGACTTGGAGCTGATGGGTCCTGGAAAAACACAATATTCACTTTACCCAATTCCCCAACATTGTTCCCCTCCCCAATTCCCCAATGAAATCTCTAAAAGAAAAAAAAAGAGAGAGATACAAAAGATTGAAAAGCTTGTACCTATAAAATACCAATTGAAAAAGTTGACATTTCCATAAGAAATAAGGAAACACAACATGTGAAATAATCTTTATACTTATTTCCCCATTATAAAACTAAATTAACATAATATTTTGGAAATATTACTGCTGGTTTTAACTAGAAACTTTAATGTTATTAAGTCCACTATTATACAACCTTAAATATCACATAATAGTTCTGAGATCTGCATATTAAGTATGGTCATTACTGATAAGTTGAATAAGAAATTTTAAGGGGCAAACGTGAAGTATTCATTTAACATTAGAAAATTACTTAACATTTATATTCGAGGCCTGTACAGTTGAGATACAAAAATAAATGATGTAATTCCTGATCTTGGGATGCTCACATCTAAGGAGCTAGGTTAGAAAATGCTCACTTTGGTGATTCATTTCTCTCGTATCTATTAGTATTAGTCACACTGCTTCTAATGAGTCTTCACATTGAAACTATAAATTTGTATCATTGTCATTTTCACCAAGGAGACAGCTCTGCAGTCTTTTTTATTTTGGGAGCCTTTTAAATTTCTTGCAGTTTTTTTCTTTCTGATTGTCAATTTCTCAGTAAATAATTTTCTGACTTTTAAAAGAAATTTTAGGGACAATTTCACTTTCTCTATTTTAAGTGTTAGTCTAGGGCCACAGGCAAGGGACTATATTTCAGGTAAAAATTGTAAAGCATTCATAATTGTTATATAACATTGTTTGAATGGAATACAAATTTCAGTATGCAACATATTTACTCCAAAGAAAGTAACTTACCGTAGTCAGAAAGAGTGCAGGCATGAGCAAACGATAGTAGCATATCCAGCATTGATACAGTGTCAGAGAGTTTATATAAACAATGAATGTGTTCATAAATCTCACTAAGCAGTTTGCACACTATCCTGCAAGTACATGTTTGGTAAGACAAGTAATGCTTTTTAAACAGGGACATACAATGTAATTGTAAAACAGTATTAAATTCATTGCCTGAAATAAAATAACATTCACATTTGAGTTGTATACTACAGGTAAGTCTATTATTCTATTGCCTCATTATAGACATAAGGAAATTGACTCTCATAGTCAAGGTCACAGCTACTTAGTAGCAAGGAATCTATCTTCTTTTGTGTTAGCACCATGTTTTTAAATGATTACTTTTATTAAATATTAATAAAAAATTAATAAAAATATTTTGTATAAGTTAAAGCTCTCACTATACTTCAAGAGATCCTATCTGCTAATACTTTTGTTTTTGCATATGTTAAATTCAACACAAAAGTTATCATGTATTTTCTCTCTCCTATATATACTCTCTCTGTGTCTCTCTCTGTCTCCCTCTCTCTCCCACACACAAACCTTAACAACATAATTATTTAAGCTTTTATGTGACAGAGGTATCATAATTGTAACAATATGTTTTTTCCTTACAAGGAATAATACATTCCCAGAATTTATTGTATCTTATAATCTTTGTTGTCTATGCTCTTTCAATTGTTTTGAAAGCCCAACATTTTTCTTTATCATTTCAGCTCACCAATTCTGAATGTTCTATTTCTTATTTCTAGCAGTATTACTACTGTTTCATGAATAGCAAGAGACTGGCATGACCGTGATGTTGCTATATACTATGGCATGAGAAGCTGAGGGCTTGCATACCATAGGAAAAGAGTAAACTGAACAAAGCCCATAATAAGCCCATAATATACCAAGCTCTACTTTATGGTGGAATGTATACTACAGAAGTATCAGTAGTAATGGGGTTATTTTGCAATTAAGATTTGCCCTATAACTTCTGTGAGGCTCACTGATCCCAATCACAATGGCAGATTTTAAAAGTTTTAACTGTTCATCCAGGAAATGTTCTTTCTTTGCTAACATTCATAATTTTACAATTTTGTGTAAGCAGACAAAAAAAGTCAATTAATGAAATTTATGATAGTGTCTCAAATTAAACCAATTTAATTCAATATTTAAAAACTTCAAATGCTCTTACATGTAAGTCATGTGATAGATTTCTCTCAAAGACTCTTGGCATCTTTCATTCATTTTAATTAAGTCTGCTGATGTAAAGCTATAAGAATTTTTCACTTTAGAAATCTGCTAGGAAATTAAAGAACAAATGTCAAGATACATGTATGCGCCTATGATACAAAACATACAGATTTTAAACAATAAAATATAGGTATTTAGGTGAATCACTTCAATTTTTCATATATAGTTTCACAGGAAAAAGTCCCAAATGCTGTTTGTGAATGAGAAATGAAGGATCACTTCTAAAGTTAAAGCAGGAGTTTTTAACTTAGTCCATCTGACATGAGTAGTTTTACAGGTCTTAAAACAACCATATAGAAATGTTAAAAGACTACATCTTATTACCAAGTAACAGGCAGGATACATATCAGCAATCCTCACTGCATCTCTAACCTGTTTTAGCCCTTGCCCCATATCTGAACTTCACTCAATCTTTAACCCTATTACTAAGTCTCAACCCACTCTTTACTTAATCCATCCCACATTACTTGGTAATACAGTATATATTTTAATATGGATCAAATACATGGTGATGGAAGGAGAACTGACTGGGTGGTGAAAACACAATGTGATATATAGATGATGTATTACAGAACTGTACACCTGAAACCTATGTAACTTTACTAACAATTGTCACCCCAATAAACTTTAATTAAAAAAAAACAAACCTGAAATTTGAATGGTTCGTTTTTTTGTCATAAAGCACCCCCTGGGGGCAGAGAAACCACGATTAGAGGGGTTGGACTTTCCACAAACTGGCATATTGTGGAGAAGTTAATATGCATATAGGAAAAACGACTTCCCTGGTCCAAAAATTTGGCAATATTGGATGCAAAAAAGTTAAGCAGATTTTTCTACTTCAGGACTTTTAAACCTTTATTAGGCAAGTGTGTACTGGAGAACTACCTAAAATGAGCTGTTACAGTATTTTCCAAATTTCTTTGATAAAAAAAATACCTTTTAGACTTTCTTTTTTCATTTTCCTTTTTTTCTTTTTTTAACCCATACCAAGCTCCCAGAATTGTGGAAAGCACTGTTTTTGGTATTTCTCTTTAAAAAAAAGCTTCTAGGTGGGTAGGTAGAGTAGGAGAAGCAATATACAGAATATTCAGAAATTTGGTATGTAAAACTCAAGGAGTACCTGAAGATAAGTAAATGTAATCCTGTAAAATCAGAAACAATAATTTCCTAAGCAAACTCCAGAGTGTACCTTAATAAACTCTGAAGGAAGTTGGTTGTTGGGTAGGGCTGTACAATCTATGGTCATCTGGATGAAAAATCCTCGAGCAGAGCTAAAACTTGTCCTTAAAGGAAGGCCATATTTTTCTGCAAGCTGTGATATCATTCCTAGTGACCAGAAACAAGAAAAACAAAAATAAAACAAAGACTTTTTAATGAGACAATGACTTTTTCTGTTTAAAAATATCCCATGATTTTTTCTTCTTATTTTATATATAAATAGGAAGGTCTTGTTATACTTTTAAACTCTAAAAATTTTTAATGTCTAAAATATGTGGTTAAGTATTCTTTTAAGAAAAAAACATGTTGGGCTGGATGAGGTGCTCAGTTGGTTAAGAGTTGACTTGGGAGCGCGAGCTCTGAGCAGCAGGGCTGCCGATTCAGTTCCCACATGGGCCAGTGACGCTACACCCTCTATAGCTAAGATTGTGAACAACAGCTCCACCTGGAGCTGGGCTGCCGTGAGTGGACAGTGTAGACTGCAGCCCCTGTTGCAGTGGGCTGCAGTCAGCTACAGTGAGTGGCCGGTAGCCAGCATGAGTCCAATGGCCAGCGGCCAACTGTCTCATCTGGGAAGAATGCAATGATCATAACACCAACATGAGCCATGTGGAAGCGACATCCTCCACAACTAGACTGAAGAACAAAAGGACAACAACTTGTCTGTTCCCCTCCCCCAATTTCCCAATAAAATATATATTTTTTAAATGTATTTAGTACAGAGACAGTCGTTGTGACAGGTATTTTGAAAGTAAAAGAAATTGTAAAACTTAAAATAAAAAAATAAAACCAAGACTATTTTACACTCTGTATTAGAAATATTAGTTTTTTATTTGTTATTCATTCTACTTTTTTGAAAAGAGAACAGAAACATAAATTACTGCAATCATTAATTTGCAATAAGAAATTCCCTCTACAAAACATATTTTACAAAACATAATATTCCAAAAACAAAATTGGTGATTCATCGAATAAAATTCCTAAAAAATCCAAATCTCCCTATCAACTTCAAACTCGTCACAGAGTTCTAAATTAATATTTTTTACCTTATGACAATTAATGCTTTGAACACTACTTGAGAAAACTAACACCTTTATTCCTAAAACAGTTCCTCCAATAATTTTCCTGCTTTTCTCAGTGGTACCACCATTCTCAGGTGAGAAATCTCAACTGGCAACCAATGCTATATTTCCTTTTGCCATGATCTTATCTACTCAATAATTAACTCATCAATTTTTCCTTCAACCTTTGCATTTCTCTTCTCTCATACATAGCTCTTACCCTAAATAATGCTTTGTAAACTTGTTATAGCTTAAAATGTTCTCCCTATCTCCATTGCTTCACTCAAATTCATTCAACATATCATCTTGATCAATGTCACTCCACAGAGCAAAAATATGTCAGTGTCTCTTTACTCTCCTTGGAAGAAAAATCCAAACTCTTGACCTTCAAAGACTTAATTCTGGTCCCTAGTCTACATTTCTGATCTTATCTCTTATTAGTTCTGTAGGAGAATACCCTATTCAATCCTCACAAATATCCTCAAACATCCCTTGGGGTTTCCTGATGTCTGTGTGCTTCAGTTTGTACCACTGCCAGTGGGTGGACTTCCTTTCTAGGCTATTCTGTCTACTAAAAACATTCCTATACTCTATGCCTCTACACCCAGTCTCTCTTGGAACCCTCTAACCTGCTATATTTTTCTTCATGTCGTATATCCATGCAAAATTATATGATATACTCGTATCGATACAAGTATACACAAACACACACACACACACACACACACACACACACGTGTGTGCGTGTGTGTGTGTGTGTGTGTGTGTGTATTTTTTCTTTATTGTCTGTCTCCCCTACTGTAACAGAAGCTCCATTATGACAGGGACTTTGTCTTCTTCACTATGTATTCCCAGAACAGTGTCTACATTTACTAGGAGCTCAATAAATATTTGTTAAATTAATTGCTGTACTGGCTCAAATGTTACCTCTTCTAGAAAAAAATGGTATCTCTCCATTCACTGAAACGCTTTAGCACTGATAGCCTGCATTTTTATGTAATTTATACACAATGTTATGTGAAGGTAACTATATTTAACTTTGGAGGAAAAAAAAATAGGTGTATTATAACACTTTGAGATTTTTATTTTTAAAAAGTTTCCTTAATAATATGTTAACTTTATTTGTTTTGATAACAAAAAATAAATTTAAAATATGTATGGCAGGTTATCTATCACCAGCAAAAAAGCACACCATGTCTTTAAAAAGTTAGGTGTTTTTCTAAAAAAAAACAGAAATATGCTCACGTAATTAAATTACCTGCTATGTCATCTACAATCTCTGTATATGTCCTTCTAGCTATGTCAAGAAATTCATTTATGTTACACCTCACTGCATAGCACTTCTGAGTCCTCATGTTCAGACATCCTTTCATGTATCTTGCATCATCATTAATTACTGTTTTAATCTTTTCAAGTATGATTCCAAACCTAAAAAAGAACATTATAGGCAAAGTCAAATAGTTATTTTAATTTATAATTTGAGTCACAGTTAATGATAGCAAATAACATCTTTTCTTAAATTATTGTTGAAAATTACTTTGAAAATAAACAAGCTATACAAACACACACACACACACACACACACACACACACACACTTAAACTTACATAGGTTAGAACAAATAACTATGTCAATTTTAAACTATTTTGTTGGTCAGGAGTAGCCTACTAAAACATGAGGCCACCGAAAACAAATCTACAACTGCTAATAAACAGATCTCCCAAATTATACATACTGATTGTGCCTATGAGTATGCAATACATCCGTTATAAAAATTCTGACTTCATACTCATTGACTCAATAAACATTTACTTATACCAAGTATCAATCACTGTTTTAGGCGTAGAAATTCAAAGAAGAATTACGCAACAACATATGGTCCTTGCATTCAGTTGGTACAAGGGAGATAAATATATATTGTGAGACAGTGTAACAGTAATTAAGTGTAGTGATCATGTAAACCGCAAGTCTGATAACACCTGTTTTCCTAATCGTTTATTTTAATTTTTCTGTGTTTTACTTGTAATTAACTCAGTTTTATTGTTAACCTCAATTTGTGGCCTCACACTGGATGTGAATCATGAATCAATGAAATAACAGCTCTTAAGTATCACAAGTCTTTTTGGTCAAGAACCACGGAGCCACTGCTAAAAACAATACTAAAATTAAACTGTATTTAGATCTTACTCAGTATTCTTGTCTATTATTTTTTTGGTTACATTAGGTCTTTCATGATATAACATAAGACAAAACTGTTTTTTAAAAAAAATATTTGTCTTTCCATAGAGAATGGCTAACAAATATTAAAATTGTATATGATTTTTAATTTGTAATGCTATTCCAATTGTCTACTAAGGCAAATACTCAGTGTGCTGTTACACTATTCATGGTTATTTATAAGATGAAATGTATAGTTAGAATTTTGATAAATAGTTTAAGGCTCTATTAACCAAAGCTCAAGGAACTGTTTTACAGAATATAATTAGAGTCCTTAAAATCAGTTATGATCAGAAAGAAAAGAAAAATCTGATAGTTTATTAACAGTTGAGTGACCAAGACCTCTTATCTTCCAAGGAACCATAGTAAGCTCTTAACAAAGGTGTGTTACAGTTCTTCAGAGCAATCTAGTAAAGAATAAAACAAAGATAGTTAAGGATAGTTAAGAATAATTATGACATTATTCAAAAATAGTATTTTACATTTCTTTAGTCCTTTACATCTTGCAAAGTGCTTTTTTGCTTCATTTTTCTCATTTATATACTCATAAAATATATTTTTGGTATGTAAGTGAAGACAGATGGTATCATTCCTGTTTTTCAGACAAAGAGCACAGGGCTAGTAAGTGGCCTCCACTGCTTCACTATTATGACTTATTTTTCTTGTCTCCCAACTAATTGTTAACATCTAACAACTTATTAGAGGTAGGTTCTTAAAGAGATACCATTGTACACTTGGAGTACTCTACATATAATTCTAAAATTTGGGTTAAATTTATATTAAACAAAAAATGTGCTTTGTATATTCAAAAATAGAGCAATTTCTCCAGTCTTATATGGTAAAAGTAAAGATTTTAATTTGCTGAATGGAAACTATAAATGGTCACTATTCAAATAAATAGAAAAGAGGAGGAGAAAACATAATCTGATTTTTTAGCTTGCCGTGAGGCAAATGGTGATAAAATTTTTTGCTCATGAATAAAAAAATAATATTTATGCACTGATAACTAGAAAATTTATGAAAGCATAAAAAAACATTTAAATTATTCCTTCCAAAGATAAATACTCTAAATATTATGGTATATTTCCTGTCACTTATTTAAATAAAAAAAGTTATATCATTGCATGTTCCTTTTCTCCCCCACTTAATTCTATATTGGGGCATTAGAAACTATTTATAGCAAAATTTTTAAATAAGTCCAAATATATATTCCACCCTGAGGAAACCAAATAGTCTCTTCTCTAATTATTGGAGTTCTATGCAACTTATCATTTCTCACTAATATAAATAATGCTGCAATGACCATCACTGGGCATAAATCTTGATCAACATTTCTTAATAGTTCTTCCAGACAGATTTCTAGAAGTAGCATCACAAAATATAAAAGATAATGTTTCAAAACTTTCCTGTAAAGTATGTATAATTTGTACTCAATTTGTACCAGCTATCTATGAAGTTGCCTGTCTCACTATTATCTCATTAGCAGTAAGTTCATCCAGTAAGAAAAAAAAATCTTTGTTTCTCTGATAGATTAAAAACCATGGTATTAATTTTCATTTCTTTGACTAATAGTCAGGTTAAGCATTTCTGGTACCAAATAGTTCCACTCTGATTTCCTTTTTGGGGTCATTTCTCTTATTCCCACTGGCATTCTAGTATTTTCTTATGGAATTACATGAGTTTTATGATGACAGAAATGAACATTTTGTCTGTAATTTGCTATAAATTTTTCCTAAATTTCTTTGGTTTTACTTTGCCTTTGACATATCAAAGTTTGAAACGTGTGTTTCATCAAATCTATCAGTTTGGGGAGTGTTATTACTATATCTCTTTCATTCTAAGAAAGATGACACTACTTTTGAAATCAATTCTTCCATATTTTTCATTATTTTTTTCTGTTAGAAAGCAGTTCTTTTTGGCATTTTAATTTTAAAAATGTTTTGCACAGGGTAGTATTTAAAAATTGATGAGAAAATTGCCATTTTGTGACTATCAGAGTAACAATACTTCAGGTAAGAGTTGTCAATAAACACTAAATTAATGAAAGTTTAATGAGAAACAGGATATTTACAGTCTCAAAGCATCTCTCCATAGATTACGTATAACTTTAACGAAAGGAAACTGATCAAAGTTAATATCACCAAGCATAAGAAAATGACATCATGAGAAAGATACAACATTGCCCAGAGAGTATTGCTGCCAAATATGCATAAGCCGAATTTAACCATGAGGAGGCAATCACACAAATTGAAGAATATCCTATAAAAACAATTGACCCTTATTCTTCAAAATGTCAGTATAGTGAGAGACAAAGAAAAGCTGAGATACTTTTCAGTTTAAAAAAGTATAAAGAAGCATGACAAAAATATAATGCATGGTGCTGGACTAGACCCAGGGGGGAAAAATCCATAAAGAACATTATTAGGACAATAAGAAAAATGTGACTATGGGCTATACATTATATAACAGTAATGTATCAATATAAGTAGCCTGAATTTTATAATGATATTGTGGTTATGTAAGAGAACACCCTTGTTTGTAGGAGATATACACTTTAGTATTTAGGTACTACAGCTTATTCTCAAATGGTTCAATAAGAATAATAGTAAGGATAATAACGTGTGTGTGTGCTGTGCATGTAAAGAGAGAGAATATGGGAATTAATTATATTATTCTTGTTACTTTCTCTAAGTTTGAATTGTTTTCAAAACAAAAAGTTTAAAAAAACTGATGCTAGACATGTTTTAGACACATACAATATGCACATTTATAAATTACCTTTAAAGGATCCACAAGTTCCAAGGTATGTTTTAGGTATATTAAATTTGTTATCTTTGATTCAGCTGCATTAACCTATTAACACAAAAATCCAAATATAGATACCATAAATATTTAATACAAATATGGGTTTTCTTTTTAAACATTCTACACTTATTATGTTCCATACAGTTTTATATATCAACCTAGCCAGGATGCCAGCCTAAAACATTGTTTAGCAATTACTGACCCATCATAATAAGACTAGCACACTAGTCTCCTGAAAGTCTGACCATGAAAAGAGTTCACCTCATTACATCCAACTTGCATTTCTATTTCAGCCTCTTGGGTTAACCTTAACCCACAGTAGCAATAGGAGATACAGTTCAATCCTGAGCAGCACTAAGAGACTAGAGTTAATTGGAAAAGGCACAAGGGGTATTTGTGGATAGATGATATTTGAAAAGCTGAATCCAAACCCCCCAGATAATTATAGAACAACACAAATATCCCTCATTGATTCCTCTTCATGCAAGTAAAACAATTTTCATAATTCCAGTTGTCCAAATTAATTATAGTTTTTTTCAAAAAGCAACACCAGCATTCTAAATTTTATAGACTTTTTATAAATTAAATTGTAGTACTGTCTCAACAGCTGAGCAATGCTACTAAACCTGGGAAAATGACGATGTTCTTGTAGATGGACTAATTTACCAACACTGACAAGAAGTTTTAAGATATTACTATTAAGACATAACAGTAATTGATATAGTGCTGTTTCTTTTTGAAGCCTCTGGACCTTTATCCCCATCTGTGACCATACAGGTCAATTTAGAAGAAATACCAAAATGAATGATTTTAGCCCTAAAACAAGTTATCTCATGCTCTCTTACAATGGATCTCTGAAACTAACTGGAAAATTAAAAATAAATAAAATTCACCAAACAGAAGACAACTATCATCACTATTACCAAAGGAGAACAGCTTCCAAAAATAGCCAAGATACCCTTGTATAAGAACAAGGTGGAAGGACTAACTAACTAAAAGGACAGAAAGAAAGACCAATGGAACAGAGTAAAGAATCTAGAAACAGACCCAATCATATATGAGTACTTGATTTATGACAAAGATTGACTACAGAACTTGAGAAAAAAAGTTTTTTCCATAAATGGTGCCAATTATGAATCCATATGAGAAAAAAAATAAAACGTAGTCCCTTTCTCACACCACATACAAAATTCAAACCCAGGTGGACTGTAGATCTTAAATATAAAAACTAAAACAATAAAACATCTGGAATATAACAAAGAAGAATATCTTCATTACCTTGGGTGTCCTAACTAGTTTTTATAAATTTCATAATTAATGACTTGGCATCCATTAATCATAGGGCCAAACTAATGGCTAACGTTGTTTACATCTCCCACATGGTCTGGCTTTTGTGGGCCCACAAAAAACATGCTACAAGCACTCCAACTACAAACGCCAACATCTGTGTTTTGCTTCCTACCCATAGGGGACATTTCCACCTAACAACTTCCTGCTACCTTAATAATAAAGGCTTTGCAATGCTCTCCCCTCATTCCTTTTGACTCCTGACCAATTCTGGTACTTTCCCATGTGACCCTGTGTGGCATGCTCCCTCCTCTCAGGAATTGCAAGTAATAATCTTTTAATGGTATTAGCCTCTCTATGTCATCACTCAGTCACCTCCAAAAATTAAAATGCCATGGGTACAATCAAGACAATGGGGTAGGTAAAAACTTCTTAAGCAGGATACAACAAACACTAACTACACAGGAAAAATCATCAACTAGAGTACATTTAAATTAAGAAGTTCTATTCATCAAAAGACACCACTGACCCAGGAGCGGTTCTTTAAAAGCAACTTTGAGAAACTATAATTTGAGGGCAAATAATTTATTTGAAAAGTAATTCCAGTAAGTACAGGCAAGAGAGTAGGGAAGTAAAAAGGGAATCTGCACTGATTACCACTACATAGTATTAAGGCTCAATACTATTTGCTGGAGGCCTGTCAGAGCTGGTATAGAATAAGCTTCAGAAGCTATCTCCATAGGTAAAAAAAAATGAGGGTATTTATTCATCTAGTTTTTGGTACTGGTCAAGACCTGTTGCCAGAGCAACAACTCTAGACTGTCCTGTGGCCAGAGAAAGCCCTCAGGCAGTGAGTTTCAGCTACTCACAGTAAGAGGCCTTCCTTGTACAAAAGTGAATGCCATGGGGATGTGGGTAGTACCCAACAGCATCTACTCCACAATACTGAGCAAAAAAGCAAGCCTCAAAGTGGGAAAAGATATTTGAAACACATAGAACCAATAAAGGGCTCATGTCTAAAATATAAAAAGAAGCTCTACAAATCACAAAAGGAGATAAACAACCCAAGAGAAAAATGGTCAAGAGGGGCAGCCAGTTAACTCAGTTAGAGCGCAGGTTCATAACACCAAGGTTGCCAGTTCAATTCTCAAATGGGCCAAGGAGTTGCACCCTCCACAACTAGATTGAAGACACCTATTTGACTTGGAATTGATGGGTCCTGGAAAAACACAGTTCCGCAATAAAATTTAAAAAAAAAATGGTCAAGAGACTCAAACAAGACTTTCATAAATGAGGTATTCAAATGGTCTATGCCAGGGGTCAGCGAACTGCGGCTTGCAAGCCACATGCAGCTCTTTGGGTACATACATGTGGCTCTGAAGTAAAATTGAAAATGAAGGGCTGGCCGAGTGGCACATTGGTTAAGAGCTCACTTGGGATGCCAGAGGGCCCTGATTTGGATCCCACATATGAGGACCAGTGACACTGCCCTCTACAGCTAAGATGCTGAACAACAGCTCGACCTGGAGCTGGGCTGCCATGAGTCGCCGGTGACGGCGTAGGCTGCAGTGGGTTGACATGGGCTACCGTGAGCGGCCAGCAGCCGCAGTGAGTGGCCGTCCAGAAGCTGGCAACTGATCTGCCTTGCCCAGGAAGAGCGCAATGATGATGCCAACTTGGGCCAGTGAAGCGTCTTCCACAACTAGACTGAAGAACAAAACGACAGCAACTTCTCTGTTCCCCTTCCCCCAATTCCCCAACGCTGTTCCCATCCCCCAATTCCCCAATTAAAAAAAAAATCTTTTAAAAAAAATTGAAAATGAAAATAAAACTATCATAGTTTCATATATAAAATTTTAAAGGATATTATTCACATAATGGTGATTATGTAAAAATATATTTATGGCTCTGGAATAATTTTTAAATTGTTGTGAGGGACAGGATTGGTTCTTCCAGGGGTCAGCAAACTTTTGAGACGGAATGTACCCAAAGAGCCGCATGTGTCTCGTGAACCACAGTTTGCTGACCCCTGGTCTAACTGTAGACCCAAAAGATAGAGGAAACAGATTTTGCAGTCATTGTCAGAGAGTGCTGAAGGCTGAATGAGAAGGGGGATTGAAATAATTTCTCAGAGCACGCAAAAGCAAGTGGACAAGGAAAATACAGAATAACAGCTAGGCAGCCTTAAGGGCCATCTGACTACATGAGAATCAACACTGGTGATTATTAGGGTGAATAATCTGAGTGGCAGTAAGGAGCAAGGGGGATACAACCTCTAAACTCCACAGGAGGAGAAATGTGAGGAGAACAAGCACCACTTAAGAGGTATGCAAAACAGCAGTCATTACAGAAGATACAGGTTTCAGTTTGAGGGAGAAAGGAAAAAATAAAGGAGATTTCGCCTATAACCAACCTTGTGGGCCAGAGGGGAAAATGAAAGGGTGTCATAGGATGAATAAGGGTAAAAATAAAGACAGAAAAGCTAATGTGCAGACACATTTGCGAACTAGAATCCAAAATGGGGAACAATTTAAGAGTACTGGGCTTCTTGTGGTGATTTACATGAATAGGAATAGGGTCAAGATATTACTTCTGATGGTTCAAAAGCAAATAGTGAACAACGGTTCATACAAAAGTTGGTTTGCACAAACACTGAAAGTGAAAGTTGGTGGAAGGATGGTCTTTATAGAAGCAGAAAAAATTTCAAGGCTCCAACTGACTCTTACTAATAGAAATATGGAGTTTTGTAAAGAAATGGTCTTCCTCTGAGGATACACATGAATGATCACTTGACCTCCATCCATTGGATTCTGTCTGTATAGCAATGGTTCTCAACTGAAGGATATTTTCCCTATCAGGGGGTATCTGGCAATTCCTGAAGACATTTTCAGTTGTTACAGTTGGGGAGACATTACTGGCATCTAGTGGGTAGAACCCAATGATGTTGCTAAACATCCTCTAGTGCCCAGGACAGCAAAAGAAGTTTCTAGCCTGAAATCTCAACAGTGCCAAGGTTGAGAAATCCAGCTGTAGAGAAGATGTTTTACTACAAGCACACAGGTACTTTTTTTAACTCTTTCGCACTGGTGATTTCCTCCCCGTCTGTTCTTTCTCTGTCTCCCTCTCCAACCCTCCCCTACCTTGCTAGCTTTGAAGAAATAAGCTGCTATGAATCCTACAGCTGCGAGGAACTAAATGTTGCCACCATTGCATAAGCAGTGCTGAGCTCCCCAGGTGAGCATGCAGCTATAATTAACACCTTAACTGCAGCTTCTGAGATCCTAAGCACAGGACCCAGCTATGATGTGCATAGATTCCAGAACTGACAGAAACTATGAGATAATAAATAAATGTGGTTTTAAGCTGCTGTAGTTGTGGGTAATTTGTTACACAGCAATGAAAAAAGAAAAAGAAAAACAATAACAAATACAGAGTTTATTTGCAGTTTGCTTCTTCAAAGCCAGTAAGAGAGAGGGTCTCTCCATGAAGAACTGGGAGGCAATTCTCTACTGGTCTTTTTCATTTCCTCACATCTTGTGAGCAGAGGCACTGACTGCCTTTGTTCTGGACAGTCTCTTCAAGGACGTTTGTATAATGAATAGCCCTGAAAGACACCTCCTTCCTAGAGCAATGGGTAGGTTTGCTTACAGCCTTGGAAGATAAAAATAGTGTCTTCCTCCAGAATAGCAGGCAAGTATGCTTACTTCCCAGTAGACAAGATTTCGTTCCCTAAGCTCAGCAATTCTCTTGCAACATACTCT